AATAACTTAATTTTTTATTTTTGATTGTACAGAAATGATCAAGAAGAACGTACATTTAGTTGCGTTTGCAGTGTTTTTTATCATTAGCTGTTCATAAATGAATGAAAAGCAAAATGAAAACTTTAAAATAAACTTTAAAATAATTCAGAGTGAATTACATGCAATTCCGTATTCCATATCCTACACTTTATTTTCCTTGTTGTTAGCGTTTCCTTTGTGAGTATTAAGTTAGTATGTAGAATTTTATCATACATTTTTGATTATATAATATATATAATCCCGGTTGCGTGTGAAACAATTTCCATTAGGAAGTTTTCGTCAAACAGATGGAATTTATTTTTCTGGTTCCTACGGTATTTCCTTGTATGCGCTTTACATACATGTGGTTTTCGATTTTAGTACAGATTTCAAAATTCATATCTTCAATTTCGTCTTCAACAGTTTCATATTATGCCGTTTTACCAAGTTGTATTGAATTAGCTAGATGATTGACATTACACAATGTAGGCTACTAGAGGAAAAAACGTAAAACTTACGTATTTTCATGTACTATGCTTGTGTAATTTTTGCTATTGCGTACAATAATTTATATAATTTGTATTTGTATTACCCCTTGGACTTGAATAATCTTTTCTGTGTTTGCTGGCAAATGCATTTCTCAACGAGGTCAGCGCCTGTGACCCAGCTTGAGACATGGGGGATTGTTTTGATTGGTCTGTTCTCTTGTCTATCACTCAGACTTTTAAGACAAACAAATATACTTTCATGACAGAATATGAACACATAGACTTTGAGGTTTTAGATCTCATCCACACTTTTCTTATTCAGTACGTAGCATAATTTGTTGTGCACACCAATATTTTTAACGTTTTATTGTATGTTTTATTATTAAATGCACAAGTTAACAAATGCACATTATTCAAAGGGATTACTATTAAAAAAATGTGTTTATCAAAGTGTGTGTGTGTGTGCGTGTATACACACACGCACACTATATATA